TCTATAAGATCCCCCCTCAATCTTCTGAATTCCAATGAATATAATCCCAATCTACTCAGTCTCTCCTCATAAGCCAACCCCCTCAACTCCAGAATCAACCTAGTGAACCTCCTTTGCACCCCCTCCAGTGCCAGTACATCCTTTCTCAAGTAAGGAGACCAAAACTGCACACAGTACTCCAGGTGTGGCCTCACCAGCACCTTGTACAGCTGCAACATAACCTCTCTGCTTTTTATTTCAATCCCTTTAGCAATGAAGGACAAAATTCCATTTGCCTTCCTAATTACTTGTTGTACCTGCAGACCTACCTTCTGTGATTCATGCACAAGGACACCCAGGTCCCTCTGCATAGCAGCATGCTGCAACTTTTTACCATTCAAGTATAATCCTTTTTACTATTACTCCTACCAAAATGTATGACTTCACATTTATTTACATTGTATTCCATCTGCCAGACCTTTGCCCACTCACTCAATGTATCTATGTTCCTCTGCAAAGTTTCACAGTCCTCTGCACACTTTGCTCTGCCACTCATCTTAGTGTCATCTGCAAGCTTTGACACCCTACACATGGTCCCCAACTCCAAATCATCTATATAAATTGTAAATAATTGCGGTCCCAACACCGATCCCTGAGGCACACCACTAGTCACTGACTGCCAGCTAGAATAGCACTCATTTATCCCCACTCTTTGCTTCCTGTTAGTCAACCAATCCTCTATCCATGCTAATACTTTACCCTTAACGCCATGCATCCTTATCTTATGCCGTAGCCTCTTGTGTGGCACCTTGTCGAAGGCCTTTTGGAAGTCTAGGTACACCACATCCACTGGGTCCCCATTGTCCACCTCGCTTATAATGTCTTCATTGAATTCCAAAAGATTTGTCAAGCATGACCTGCCCTTCATGAACCCATGCTGCGTCTGCCCAACGGGACAATTTCTATCAAGATGCCTTGCTATTTCTTCCTTGATAATAGACTCAAGCATCTTCCCCACTACAGAGGTTAAGCTAACCGGTCTATAATTCCCCATCTTTTGTCTACTTCCCTCTTTAAACAGTGGCGTCACATTTGCTGTTTTCCAATCTGCTGGGACTGCCCCAGAGTCCAGCGAATTTTGGAAATTTCACGGGGGATATGGGAGTCTGTGGCTGGGCCCAAAATTTAATCGCCCAATCTCTGTATCTGCCTGCAGATCTAACTTCTTGAACCGCTGCAATCTGTGCACTGTAGGAACACTCGCACAGCGATGGTGGGGAGGGAATGCCAGGATTCTGATCCAGCGACACTGAAAGAACAGCTGATATATTTCCAAGTCGGGACGGCGAGTGGCTCGGAGGGGAACTTGCAGGGGGTGGTGTTCCCATGTATCTGCTGCCTCTTGTCCTTCTAGATGGAAGTGGCCGTGGGTTTGGAAGGTGCTGAGTGAGGATCTTTGGTGAATTTCTGCAGTGCATCTTGTAGAGGGTACACACTACTGCGACTGAGCGTCGGTGGGTGGGGGGAGTGCGATGTTTGTGGATGTGGTGCCAATGGAGCGGGGGCTACTTTGTCCTGGATGGTGTCGAGCTTCTTGAATGTTGTTGGAGCTGCCCCCATCCAGGGGCAAGTGGGGAGTATTCCATCCCACTCCTGACTTGTATCTTGTAGATGGTGGACAGGCTTTTGGTGGGGGGTGGGGAGGTGCGGGGGGTGCGGGTGGGGAGTCAGCAGGGGAGTTACTTGTCGCAGGATTCAAAGCATTTCCTCAACACTTTTAAAAATCCACTCCCTCTGCCATTGACGCTCAGTCGCAGCAGTGTGTACCATCTGCAAGATGCATTGCAGAAATTCACCAAAGATCCTCAGGCAGCACCTTCCAAACCCTGGAACACAGTCAGAATCAGGGGGTGGTGGGGGTGGGAAAAGGTTCTTTTCCATGTTCACACACCACTTTTGTTGTTAATTTCAAGCATTTTTCTCCTGCATAATGTCCGGTTCACTGTGAGCCCTTTCTCGCAGATGCACCGGATTCGGATTGTGGTCTGCGATGGCTTGGTCCGTTGTTTACAAACTTTCACTTCCATCCAGCTTCACTCCTCAGTAACCACTGTACACAGCCGGCCTGGCAAAGAACATCAGAAACAGGAGCAGGAGGAGGCCATTCGGCCCCTCCAGCCTCCTCCCCCATTCAGTACGATCAAGGCTGATCTTTTCGTGGACTCAGCTCCACTTACCCGCCTGCTCACCATAACCCTTCATTCCCTTTACTGTTCAAAGATCTAACTTTGCCTTGAAACCATTCAACGAAGAAGCCTCAAGTGCTTCACTGGTCAGGGAATCCCACTGATTCACAACCCTTTGGGTGAAGAAGTTCCTCCTCAGCTCAGTCCTACATCTGCCCCCCTTTATTTTGAGGCTACGCCACCTAGTTCTAGTCTCACCCACCAGTGGGAACAACCCCCCTGTTTCTATTTTATCTATTGCCTTCATACTTTTATATGTTTCTATGAGATCTCCCCTCATTCTTCTAAATTCCAATTAGTACAGTCCCACTCTATTCAATCTCTCCTCATAATGGAACCCTCTCAACTCTGGAGCCAACCTAGTGAACCTCCTCTGCACCCCCTTCCAGTGCCAGTCCATCCTTTCTCAAGGAAGGAGACCAAAACTGTACACAGTGCTCCAGGTGTGTCCTCACCAGCTCCATATACAGTTGTAACATAACCTTCCTGTTTTTAAAACTCCATCCCTCTGGCAATGAGGGACAACATTCCATTTGCCTTCTCAATCACCAGCTGAACCTGCAAACCAACTTTTTATGATTCACGCACAAGGACACCCACGTCCCTCTGCACAGCAATGTGCCCTCTGCCTTGGCAAGGTGTGGCATCATTTCACCAGGCAGTGGCAACAGTGAGACATCTCCAAAGCTTCATCGAGGTCCCTAGGATCCCTGCAGAGATTACGCTGCTAAGCCGGTCCCATACTTTCACGATGACTCTGTGCTTTTCCAGCTTTTGCCTTGCAGCCTGGATCTCTCTTTGGCTGACGCGGAAGCTGGTCTCTCGTTTGAATCCCCTCTCGAGACGATATTTCCCCAGGAACAGCCGAGAGAAACCGGCTCTCCAATCCACGAGGATCTGTTTGGGAGCCTGAAAAGTGCTACAAATCTCACACCTGCAGAAAGAAAAGTTACCAGCTCAGGTTTCAGCAGAGGGGTTTGCATTTTTCCTACTTTCCAGAGATTTTCCCTCCTTCTTGGGATCGAGGAGAGTCTCGACCTCCCTTTCAAAGGCTTCATTTTCAGGCCACCACTTCGAGCCACTTTGCAGGGGATCTGCAGCGCTCAGGCATGGAGCACCACAGCGTCTGACACTTCACACTCTCCTCCTGCACGTTCCGACAGTCCTGAGCCATCGATCACCTTTAGGCCAGTCTCTCCAGCGGCTTTCCCCGGCCACTCACTTTGCTTCTTCCCAGCTAAACGCTTGCTTGCCAAATTGATCGAGCCTCCTGCAAATGCAGCACGACCTTCCCTGCACACCCACATTCTTCTCTGCAGTGTCATCTTCAAAATTCGCAATCCAACGTTTGCCGGATCTTCTGCAAACATTTCTTCCAGTATATCCCAGGCCAAACAAGGCCGATGTATCTCAGCTCAATGTAAAGGCTTCTCTGATTTCTGATTAAAGCAGCTGAGCTGAGGGTTGCTGTCCTCAGCCAATGTCTTGCTTGAGATGCGGTATCTCCTCTCTCAGCAGACGTGCTTTCATGACAGGATTGCCAATGCCTAAAACGGACCTATCTTCCAATTGACAAGACTCACAGATCTCAGCTCGATGTAGCAGTGCGGTCACATGTTAATCTCCCTCTCCCCATTGAGCTCTGATGTTAAACATATTATTCATAAGCAACATTAATAGATAAAATGCATAGAGTCACAGAGATGTACAGCATGAAATAGACCCTTCAGTCCAACTTCTCCATGCCATCCAGATATCCTAAATTAGCCAGTCTCCTTTGGCCAGTATTTGGGCCCTATCCCTTTAAACTCTTCCTATTCATATATCCATCCAGATGCCTTTTAAATGTTGTCATTGTACCAGCCTCTACCACTTCCTCTGGCAGCTCATTCCATACACGCACCACCCTCTGTGTGAAAAAGTTGCCCCTCAGATCCCTTTTAGATATTTCCCCTCTCACCTTGAAACTAGTTTTGACTCCCCTACCTTTGGGAAAAGATCTTGACTATTCACCCTATCCATGCCCTTCATGATTTTATAAACCTCTATAAAGGTCACCCCTCAGCCTCCAACGCTCCAGGGAAAATAGCCCCAGCCTATTCAGCCTCTCCCTGTAGCTCAAACCCTCCAACCCTGGCAACATCCTTGTAAATTTTTTCTGAACGCCTTCAAGTTTCACAACATCTTCCCTATAGCGGGGAGACCAGAATTGAATGCAGTTTTCCAAAAGTGGCCTAACCAATGTCCTGTACAGCTGCAACATGACCCTCCCAACTCCTATACTCAATGCACTGACCAATAAAGGCAAGCGTACCAAATGCCTTCTTCACCATTCTGTATACTTTCAAGGAACTATGAACCTGCACTCCAAGGTCTCTTTGTTCAGCAACACTCCCCAGGACCTTACCATTAAGTGTATAAGTCCTGCCCTGATTTGTCTTTCCAAAATGCTCCATCTCACATTAAAAAAGTCTATCCTGTCTATTTTCTCTGCTCCTCAGTGAGATCTTAACTGTATACAGTGTGGAGCAGTGTTTTCTCAGCACTGACTGTTACTCCAGGGTCGCTACATCCACTTGCTCAGGATTGTTCCCAGCCAGTCATGCAGCGATTTCTAAACTTTGGGTAAGGGTCTCCCTCCCACTGCTGGGTCAGGAGTCAACGCCCTAAGTGGGAGCTAGTATCTCTCAAAGAAAGGCCTCCCCGTCAGCGATCACTGACAACCCACAAGCCTGAGTCAGGGAAAAGTTGACTTTGTGAACCCCTGGCAGAAGAGCATTCCCGGAGTCTAATACTTGCTCCCCTTACCTGCACTCACAGCGTCTGTGCTGAGTAAAAGACATTTCTACCAGGTTGGACGTTTGATGTTTAACTTTTAAAATCTGTAAAAGATCAGGGGAGAAAGCAGGAGATATTTTGAAAAGGCTGACACAAGAGGGTTATTGATTAAAGCAATAGTGAGCTCAGGGACATGGATAGCTGCACATCACACACTCTGATGTCCCTGCATCGTGATAGACAAATTTATTTGGTCCTCTAAGGGTCTACAGTGTGTTACTGGGCCATGTTTATCAGGGATTTTGCAGGTGGGATTGCAGGAAACGATGGAAGGGAGAACCTTCTCAGACACAATTAAATAATAACAGGACGTACTGCAGACAGCCACTGAGTATGATCGCACACTTCAGTCAGACTGAGCAGGTAACGCAACTTTCCACCGCTGAGGGAGCGCCGCACTGTCGGAGGGTCAGCGCTGAGGGAGCGC